TCTCAATAACAACAATTTGTAAAACCCCATTCCCCATGCAATCCAGCAATAACAAACTCGAGGATGAAGGCTAGATTACAGGAACTGCTCTAAAACAACAAACTAGTACCAACATCCCAGAGAGGAAAAATAATTTTGCTAACAAAACACATTTTGCTTTCAAGAGGCTCCTAGAAAAGTAAATATTGGAACGCTCAGATACCTTCCTTTCTTACTGAATATTTCACTCAAGTATGTTGCTTGGTAATGACTTTTGCTTTTATTTCATCTCACTTGAGTATTTCATTGGGTGAAAAAGCATTGTCTGACTGTACAGCGTGTGCACGTGTTCCACATTGCAGTGTGCTGATGCCCCAGCACGCGAGCCCTCGAGAGCTGTTCTGCTGGCTTTTGAAGCCAAACACCAGGCAGCTTGTTCAGGAATAAACCTTCAGGTTTCCATTCAAACCTTCCATAACCACCTTCAGCTTTTCAGGGGCTGTTGCACACAAGCACACACAAAGCTTCTTTACAACAAAGCTGCTGAATTCCGCCTGTCAAACACCAAGCAGGAGCCCTTTTCTACCCTCAGGTCTGTGTGCTTATTGATTTCAGTGGGAACCCACACACTTTCTCGAGAGAATTTCAATTAACAATTTCTCAATGTATACAGTTGAAAAACTCAAACTCCTGAAACCACAATCTTGAAGGTTCTCATCCCCTTCAAGATTGTGGTTTCGGGAGTTTGAGTTTTTCAACAGGCAGGTTACAGTGTTGAGGTGTCACAGGCAAGAATGCAGCAATGCTCTGCTCTTTCTCTATGTTAGAACTGAGAAGGAAGCGCTCAGAAATGGTAACAGGAAGGGAGAAATTTGTTTTGAAATAGCAAGAAATATTGCAAATGGATTTTAAAAAACATTTGTTCCTCTTTGTAAGGCTCTTCTTTTAACTCTGGGAAGTTCAGGGTGCCTGTGCACACCTCAAAAGTGGTTTCTGCCACCAAGCACAGCCTACACAGGGCTGTTGCAGGGACACTGGGGATTTGTGCCTCCACTGAGTACAAATTGTCACAGAGGCTGCTCAGCCCTCACAGGGACAGGGGGCCAGGATCTGTCAGTCACTCCTGGTGGTAGATTGCCCTCCCAGGGAGCTGTCTCTCTGCTTAGTGGAGCACAGCAGAAGACAAGCAGGGCCATCTCCCAGCTTCTCTGCTCCTTTCCAGACACGTTCCAATGCCAAGCATCAAAACCATAATTGGAAGAGATTTTCTGACTGCACAGCAGGTGGTCAGCAGAACAAGAGAAGGAGCTTCCTCTACATGGCATTCTGCAAACCCTAAAGCATCCAGTCCTAATAGAGTTATTTATTTCAAGGCCTGATAGCCCAGATGTGCTATCACTACCAGCATCATTAACCTCATTTGGGGTGAAATGACAAGTACAAATCAAAATCTGCTACAAAGAAGAACTAATTTGGAAGAGGCAGCCTCAGGCCCACCTTCCAGTGGTGATGGGAAGATATTAAGCCTTACTGCTCTGAGCAAGAGTCTTCACTGCTCACTATCTGACAGGAAGAGGGGTAACACCTCCAGCTTGCTGCCCAAAACAACTGTCTACATCTGACAAGTGCTAAACCTGTTGGAAAAGCAGGACTGGACCATGGACACCACACTGGCACTTTCCCCTGCAGACATACCTTTCTCCTCTGTTGCCTGGTCAGGGATGCCCTGCAGAGCAGTGATGAAGCCAAGCAGACACGCAGCAATTCTGCACACACCTGCTTCCTCACAAGAAGCAAATGGCTCTCCACCCTCTAGCAGATGGCAATTTTCTTTCAAGTCCAAGTGACTAAAAGCCTTGCTGGAAAGTGAGGAGGGGGTTTGTTCTGCTCCCCAGTGGCAGCAGTGGCAGCCACATTCCCCAGCACTCACGTGCACGATCTCCACTAACGTGAGGCAATGGCGATCCAGGTACAGGACTTCCCTGACTGACCAGGCTTTCAATTATCTCATACCAAACTGCTCAGAAATTCAAACAGAGGTTGTTACCATGCTGCCACAGGAATCCCTCTGTGTACTGTTTAAAAGAAAAATTAACTGCAACCAACAGCCTTCCTTTCCACAGCCATTAATCCCGTTGCCCACACAGATGCACGTTCTTGTACGTGACAATTCCTAAAAGGAGCCTTGTCAGTCAATGGCCACCACCTAACACGCCCGCCCCAAAGGGTTTGTTCCAATCTGGGATTTTGCTTTTTAAATCTCAATGAGAAACTCCCCTTTGGACAACTGGCTGAGCTGAGCTTTCCTTAGCTCAGCATAAGATGATTAAAACCATGCTACCCGGGAGAAGAGAGATAATGTAGAACACCAGCGATTTATCAGGGACAGAACCAAGAATCAACACACTGACAATAATTAATACAACTGTAAACAAAATTAAAACCCAAAAATATTCTTTATTTTCTTCCTTCCCCCCGCCCCCTTAGGCAAGATATCCTAATCATTCACTCTGCCGCTTGCCAGAATGAAACAGTTCTGGGGCTGCTTAAAAAAGCAGCCTCATTTTTGAGAGTCCTGTAGTAAAAGATGACTTCAGTGATTTACAGAGAAAACCTCTAAAGACAAACATGTTTCTAATCAATGCTCTGAATCATTCACAAGGGTGCATTGTCCAAAGTAGGAGAAAATTAGCTGGTAATGGGAAGAATTCAGCAGCACATCTCATCAGCTCAACTCGCTCCCGGTAAATCTGCCCAAAAAATTTAAGTTATATCCAGCCTCTTTAAAATCAAGAAGGGTGCAAACAGGTAAGTACTCGGGGGAACAATCAGTTACAGGCGATTGTTCAAGCCTTGGGGCCAGTTACCATCGCACTCTTTACTCCCATGAAGTGTTTCCTTCCCAAGAAACAAATAATCACAGCAGCCCTAGGGCAGGGCTCACCAGGCATTTCATCCCACAGGTTACAGCATTAACCTACTGCCCAGCAATTGTGCATCATCATCAAATATCCATTCATCACTCCTCTCTTCTCTGGGTTCACAGAGCAGGTCATGAGGGGAACCAAACAAGGAAGAAGGTATCAGGTCAGGTTGAGGTCTTGCGTCCCTTCTGTGTCTCTTCTCCAGATGCAGCCAGGCAGCATTGATTCCCACCAGAGGCACACACACACAATTAGTGGCCTCTTCAGGATCATTCCTCTGTATTTGCAAGAAATTATGCATCTTGGCCAGTAGCTTCAGATTTTGCTTATCTTGTCTCACTTCAGGATAGGCCCACTCTGATAAAACCTCAGATAAGAGAGCACAGAGCTAACAAAATCTATTCTAGCAAACCCCTCCAAATTAATTGGAATAAAACTGCTTTGGTTAAAAAGTTGGCATGGTTTATTAGAATAATAGATCACAGGGTGAGGGAATGCGAGCACATTATTTACAACTTCTAAGCCTTTTTATGTCTCTCTCAGTAGAAGAACCTTCTTATAAAACTTTCTGCTGCTAGAAAGAAAACACAGCTTTGACTCACAAACTGGTACCCAAAAGAAATTTATTCTATAAATTGATACTGTGTTCTGAACTTAATAAGTGAATGCAACAACTTGCAATCCATGAAAAGCTGCTGAAATATCAAAAACATCCCACAAACTTGAGCTGTGCTTCATCACGTACAGAATCCCCTTTGCTTCTTTAGGCATTCTTTTGGAAGCAGAGATCGTTCATGGCAGAGCAAGGCTGGATCAGGCCACAAGGCTGTGGTACTTGGACGAGAACTGGCACATTCCCTTTCCTCTCCTCCCCCTGTAGGTAGACATTTCTCAGGGTCTTATTCTGAAGAATTTCTGTATTTACGTGACAGCAAGAAAAGGGAACCATCGGCTCCCAAAGGTCAAAGATATTTAAAAATATTAATACGTGCCCCAAAAGAATCCAGAAGGAATCTGTCGGAATGGGAAGGATTTTGGAATAAGCAACCATTGCTTTGGTGAAGGCAGATATTAACACAGTAAGCTACAGCTCTCCCAAATAAACAACACTGTTTCTTCTGCCGATAAGCCTTCTTTTCAGAAGGCCTGACTACATGCTTGCAGAAATGTACTTTGAGATCAAAGACACTAATCTAAAAGGCTTTCAAAACTACTTCCTATGACATATATATATATATATATGAAATGTATTTCTATTCTTAAGCAAGTCACAAATGACAAGACAACTGTGACATAAAGCAGTGCACATCCACTGGGGCAGCACGAAGTTAAGGGCAACACTGCTATTATTAACTCTATGTCATTGAAATCTTTCCCCCACCTTCAGAAATGCACACTGTAAGGACACGGTGTCAGCCTTTACTTTGAATTGTCTGGATTTTTTTCAGTTTTGTGTCAACAAACCTCAGTAATTCATAAGGGAGATGACAGCCTCTTAAAATACATCACAGCAAGGTTTCCCGTGGATGTGTGGAGAGGGACAGGTTTAGGGTTACCACGGTAGGCAAGAGAGCCATCCCTGTTAGAATATATTCCCAAACATTAACTTCTAAAGCAATTTCTTCTCAAAAAAAAAATCTATTTATATCCTTCCTGCAGCGACTCTCCAGTCCCCCACCCCCTCACCCAAACGAGCAGCTTTCCGACTCTCTTTCAGTAGATTACAGTCAATTTGAGTCGCTCCAGAGGGAGGGAGAGGAAGACCCGCCAGCTCGGATAGCCTGTGGAACTATCAAGCCATTATTAGTTTATGCTCAAACTCCGGTGTGCACGGCCGGTTGTGGGTACCATATTGTGTGCTTGGAACGAGGATGGGGGGGTGCTGGAAAATAAGTCCTTTTTGGTCTTTTCCCCCCTCTCGCCACATTAAGGCTCCGACAGCCGCCCTGCGGACCGGCACCCGCCGGGGAAGTTTGTGCTTTCCAGCAACTTTGGGTCCGTTCCTCACCCCGCCGCTCCGGCGGGGAGCGGGCAGAGACCCCCGCGCCCGCCCGCATCCAGCGCGGCGCCGGCAGCGCCCGCCGCGGCCCCGCTTACGTGTGCTGCTGGGGGAAGCTGTAGCCGTGGGCGGCGGGGGCGGCGAGGAGCAGCAGCAGGGCCAGGTGGCCGCAGAGGGCCGGGGCGACGGGCGCCGCGCTGCCGGTCGGAGCCGCCATCGCCATGTTTCCATTAACGGCGCGGCGGGGAAGGGGCAGAGGCGGCCCCGCGGGGCGGCTCCCCCCGCCGCCACTCGTGCGACGAGCGCGGCAGTCCTCGGCAGGGGGGGGCTCGGGCACCCGCCCCGTTGGCCCCCGCCCCGGGCGCTGCCCCGCCGGAGGGTCCCCCCCGCCCCGAGCAACGAGGGACCTCGCGGCTCCTTCCCATCCTCTGGCACTGCCATTCCTGCCCGGGTACCGCGCTCCCCTGCGGGGCCACCTCCCGGAGGCACGGCAGCATATGGGAATCTCCGGTTATGTTTAATACAATAATAATAGCAGCTATGATTCTTTTTAAAGCGCGCTCTGACTTTGGGGAGCGTTCCTGAGCGTGACAGGAGGGCAGACGTCAAATTCAAGATAACGGAATTAATAACTACAGCCCCCAGATTGGCAGGGTTTCTGAGCCAGACTTTTGAAGGCCTGGATTTTAAAATGCTGTCTTCTGGATAGCTGCAGCACAATTTCATCTTCCCTAAACTCAAACCCAAGCTATTTGGCTTCCCAGGAACTGACCACTGGTGAGGCAGGGACAGCTGGCAAAGGCAGAGGCAGGAACACTGTTCACATGCCCTCCTCCCCAGACAGCCTAAATCAGGGACCAGGCAACGTGTAAGCAGCACCACCTTGTCCTGTTTAACTCCAAAAAAGGTGTCATGTTGGCAAGGTTGCCAGATCTGGCCAGATCTCTCAAGGAACAGCCCCACAAATTAAGCATCAGCGCTTTAAAGATGCAAAGGCTTCTTGGTCCTGCCCACAGTAACAGCGCAGCAGTGGCAGGACAGGAGCTCCTGGCAGTCTGGATTGCAGCACAGAGGTTTAAAAGCCTTCCATCTTGGGAAGGGGAAGAGGTTGTTTCTCTGAAACACTCCCTGACCTCCTTTTTAGGAGGAGTTTTCTTCTGCTGAGGGATGGAATTGCCTCCACATTTTGTTTCTGCTGTGTAAAGGAAGCATTTCAGAGTAACACAGATCCAGACTCAGACTCCTGGGTACCCCAGGCGCACTGAGACTGCCATCTAAACTCATGTGGTCACATCCAGGCACGCCATGAGTTTCTGAGAGGAGCAGGGATGGAACACTCAGGATTTAATGCACTGACTCCAGCTCAAGCTGCTTCACAGCAACAATTTTTTTTTTAAGAGGTAGAAAACCACTATTTTCCCAACTCATGTTGGAACTCAGCAGTAAAACCCACTCCTGAGCCAGAAAATAGGACTTGCAAAAAATCAAACCCTGACCTGATATGTTCAACATAGAAATTAATATGCCCAGTAATTTAATATTTCGATAAATTATTAAGAAATACTTCAGTATTCCCTCACTAGCTTCTGTACCACGTGCAGACTAGAACTCTGTTTTGCACACTCTTCAGGACGTGCTCTGGATTTGCATCCTGTATTTCAACTTCACCTGCCACACAGTTTAAGCCAGGTTTGCATGTGCTGCTGCAGTCAAAATCACAGTTACTGACCTGTCATCCAGAAGTTTCCAATTTACAACCTCCAAGTGTGTTTCAGCAGTGGTAAGTGGATAATCTCTAGTGTATACATGGGAAACAGAGCGACAATAGGATAAACAGCTTGTCCTTTGCTGGCAGAGTCAGCAGCAGATAGTAAACACTACGCATTGTGTAGAATTTGGCTTTCCAAACTCTTGAAAGACAAATTCTGTTCTCTCTTACATCCCTACTTTCTTTCCCAGAGGAGCTGGGTTAGCATCTGTCTAACAGATACAATTTAACTCAATATATGAGCCTGCAGGGTCCAGGTTTTTGGTTCCCATTCCAACAGGATAGCCAGGGTCTATGAGGCAACATTGCCATTGCCAGATATTCTTTATAATATGGGATTTTTCTGCATTATGCAATCTGATCCTCTGTCCTGTAAGAAGAGCTCAGGGAGACAACTGTGTATTGCCACGGCTATCAAGTGCTTTCCCAAATGCCTGGCATCCAGCAGCTGGCTGCTCTGCAATTGCAAATGCATGGCATGTATGCAGCAGCCCCAGTGCTGGATACTCCAGCCTGTTGTGCTGGAGCTGTGTGTGTGAGCAGAGCGACTCCCCATCGCAGGCACAGCGACCCGACACATTTGGAACAGCACGAGTGATTTATTTCCTTGAGAGTGGCTCTCCAAAATGCTTACAGTTGTTTTGGTTTGGTACCAATAACAATCCTTGCAATTGTTTTGTTTGATACCAATAACCTTCAGAGCAGTATTTGATCTTGTGGTCCTACAGTAGGAGCAGATCTGTAGATGTCAAGCAATTACTTTCAGATGTGGCTGTTTGGGTTTGTTAACAATAAAGACTTACCTGCTATGTCCTTGTTTGTAAAGAACAGTCCTGTGCTGCTGAGATGGACATTTTGGTTAGTTCTATGAAGTTGTTTTGCTTTGCTATTTTAAATGTTTTTGACTGTGTAGTACTTATTGCTGCAGTGACTGCAGTTCATACATGGATAGGTTGGCTAGTAGCAAGCTGTTTGGAAAAAGTCTTAAATGTAAAGGGGCATAATAATGGAATAAGTCAAGATACATGGTACAAAAAAGTGTTGGTTCTCTCCTGTGTGCTGCTAGATTAACCCTGTCACCTCCCAACAAACCCCTTTTCCTGGGGCACAAATGTATAGAGATTTAGCAGCAGCTTCCTTTTACTGCTCAACCTAAAAATGCAGCAAGTTTAATTTCCAAGCTCCGCATTAGGAGGAGTCACATCCAGAACTGGTATAAACAATGTATTATAAAGACCTTACATGGCAAAACTTTTCAAAATCAGTGCTGTCCCAAAAGGGAGAGAAGCAAATCAGTGGAATCATCTTCCAGCTGGTATTCCGTTGAGAATGACAGGGAAGACAGCATTGCTACATTATCCCTCACATTTTCTGCAGCAGGTGCTGCTACACTGTGGCCTGTTTGAAACACTGTCTAACCTGCAGCACCAAGCACCACCAAGCCACAAATGTGGGCTTGAACCTGGAGTTCAAGCCATCCCCAGCAGAGCAGCTTGTGATATGCCAGTGTAGGTTCCCAGAATCAGCCTAACATTGCACTGAAAGCACCATAATCTGCACAGGACCCGGTGAAATTCCGCTCAATACCTGAAATACCGGCAGGGCTGCAGCAAACCAGGCAGCGCCGCTGCCGTTCTCCCACGTCTTTTAGTGGAGAAGCCATGTAGGAGGAGGCTGTCTAAGTTGTTCTTATGGCTGATTTATTTGCAAATGCAGGTAGATGCCAGAGAAGGTGTCAGTTTAACTCTTCCCTGACTGATCCTTTCTCAGGAAAAATGCAAACCTTTGCAGTCAGCAACTGCTTCATGGACATCTTTCTTTCCTTCAGGTACACCAAGTGTGGCCTTCCCCAGCCTCTGCTTTCATGCAGTGCCATGATGAAAAGGGACAGTCATTCACACTGTCCTAGCAAAACACAAGTGCTCTGTGCAACCCGAGTGACCAGAGGAATTAGCAAGGATACTCCTCTGCCCCTTGGCAATTTACAGTGAAGCACCTCTGCTTCTGCTGCTCTGTGCAACCTGAGTGACCAGAGGAATTAGCAAGGATACTCTTCTGCCCCTCTTGGCAATTTACAGTGAAGAACCTCTGCTTCTGCATTCCTGTGGGGCAGCTGAGATTCCAGCATGCCTCAGGCAGCACGGCTCTGCGCAGGATTCCCCATGAAGGGCAGTCAGCACCCCCAGACACAAACTTCAACTTTAGGCAGATTGACACAAGTACCTGGCTTGGTACATGAATGGCAGTCTGCAGAACAAATCTGTCAATTTAAACCTGAAGCCCCTTCATGGAATTAGTCCAGATCCACAGTTTTGTAATTACTAGTGCAATTTTGCACCCCATGGCTAAACATGTAAATGCTTAGGAATAAATGACACCTATAGTCTTGACAACTCAGTTGCTGAGTGAGAGGTTAGAAGATGTTGTTGGCATACTATTAAAGAGAGACAAATAAGGGGAAGAGGTAATTAAGAGTGAGCAAATGATACCAGCTAATGCACATCCTGACTTCAGAAGTTTGCTCTTATTCCAGCTTCTTAAACACTGAGCTCCTCAGCTAATGATGTGTAGTGTTACTTGATGCCAGATGTCATTGTCTCAGAAATAGCAGAAAAGAATACACTTAACATTGATAAAAGCAAAAGAAGTAGTTGTTGCACTTACCACAAGTCATGGAAAGCCACATGGAAATTATTTTCAAAACCCCAAGAAACAAGGAAACAGCATCATGGATATTTGCAGAGTTTTTTATGTAGAGCAAATAAAAACCTGCAAGTAAGAGCAAAGAGTTGTTCTGTGGATACTAATATGGACAGGAATGGGAAAGAGCACAGGGACAAGGTTAAAACTATTCCAAAATCCTTTCCCAGCTATCTCCATGGGGCACCTTGTTTCAGGGCCCTTGCTGGCCTGACATTACAGAGTCCACAAAGTGTACATTTAGAGAAGCACACAGGTACTTTGCCTAAATTTTGCCAAGTCAAAGTCTTGATCTGAGTCCACGACTGGAATCAATTCCTTCAGCACCATCATTTTGTACAATACACCTTTTCTAGACAGTCTATGAAGTACATGCACTTCATGTCAAACTGGCAAGTCTCACAATTACTCTAGGTGATATTCACTTTACAGCAGCCTTAGGCATGACTGGAAGCCTACTCTGGAACTGTAATTGGGATTTGCCTGTTGACTTAACAATTTTTTTTCTTTTTACCATTAGTACAGAGATGCAAAGTCCAATCCAGGATTGCAGAATTTTCCAGCTCTGTAAAGACGCAGCCTCAATACCTAAGGGCTGATGAATGGCTTGTAAAATGGAGTACAGCCCCACAATCACTTTGGAGGCTGCTGGGACAGCTGAGGACAGAGTTTTCTTCTGGCTTTTACCAGTACTTGTGCAGAAAATAGACCTTGTGTGGCAAAAAATAAAAATGTGAGCATGCATTCAGTCAGTCAATTTAACTCAAGCCCAAGTCACCTGCTGTTGGATCATTTATCTTGGGGATCCAAATGATACTTCTGCACAATGTGAGGGTCAAATAGCTGAGGTCA